ATATTTGGGCTCAGGCTCTTTGCAGCAAGGGCTTTCTGACAAATGTATAAGGAGATGCCGCCTACCTATTCGCTCATTCAGTCAGTAAACCAAAGAACTTTAAAACTCATGGCTTCAAGCTCTGTGTTCGTTGTAGGTGATATTTCTTAGGAGGCAGAGAGCAGTGGTCTGGATGGACCGTGTGGTTGCTCTCAGTATTCAGCTGGGAAGTAATAAAGTGAATCGTTCCCACTCCAGGTCAAATTTTAATTTCAGTCTGGACTTCTGCCTGAAATCCTGCCCGAACCTCTGCCCTTGAAACTAGCTGTGGGAACAGTAATGTGAATTCAACTGGAAGGATGGATGAGAGAATATAGATGACTGCTAATTTGACAGCACACAGCAGCATAATCAAGAGCCGAGACATCCAGGGTGAGTGTGGACCAAGCACTCCTTGGCAAGAGAAGTTTTGAACAGGGACACATCCTGCCCTGCCTTGGTTCTCTAGTGTGGTTTTAAGTGCTGAACAGCTGCTCTCTCAAAATCAGGAACCTCTAAGGAGTCACCCAGAACCACTAGTCACTTGGGAAAATTTGGACTACTTACTCAAAATGATTAGGTATGACGATTTTTAATATCCTCTTGTTTCCAGATATAATGTCACGGCAACAGTCTTTGTCTGTAGGGGTAAGAAGAGGTGTGGTAGGTAGATAACTTCCAATTTGCCACTGACTGTGTCAATAGTTCTCTCTCTATTTCAGTAACTACTGGAAACTTTGAGGTTCAATGCACCATTAGGGTAGAACAGTAACATTGTGAATAGCCTAGAGTTTAGCTGAAAGAGCCTTTGATGCCTCTGAGGCCTCCTAGTAGAACACAATGCTTTCAGAATGATGGTTAATATATTTACTTTAGATCTCATCAGCCAGTGTAGAGGCTGCACAAAATTTCTGAAAAAGTCACATCTTTAAGTGTTCATATAATAGTTGAGTGGTCGCAGGCTAGTCCTTTAATTCCTTAGTCTTGAATTTCCTGGTTGAAATCCAAGGGCACTGATATTTGTCACCAAGTGGGACATTGCAGCGTTTCATAGTACAGTTTGATTTGTATTAGGATTGGAAAGCTTCAAATAAAAATGGACTAATTGTGAACTGGCTCTATATAAGAGGACAGGCCCTGCCCTGAATAGATGCTAAACAGTGAGGGAGGCTGGATTAAGACAGAGATTTTGTTATCCCTTTTTTTCAAATAGGAAGCAGGCCAGTGGAAGATAAAAAGCGAGGATGAGTTCCCACAGGGTATATTCTCAGCACATGAGTTATGGTGTGGTCACTGCCGCTGTGCCGGTGCCTTGTCCTGCATAGTAACTACCAGGCATCTTAGTCTGTTTTCACTGAGGACAGATCTAATTTGTATTTGCTTCCTAGTTCACCTCATGGCTATCCTTCTTGTAGCCACATACTGAGTAACCTAGCCAAAATCACAAGAAGAGGTATTCAATAACACCAGCCATTAGTAAAACCTAGACTTGCTCTTGGGATGCAGGTAATGTTTTCTAAGGATCTTGGTGATGAAAGGTACTAAAAGCAGGTTAAGTACAATGAAAACCATCTTTGTATATCAGTGATGAGTGACACCATCCAATGCTTTCATGATACTGATGTAGAAATCATCAAATATCACAATCTGTTAACACCTTGCATGGGGCGGGCATGGGGTTTCTAGGGTTTCTTGCTAGCTTGCTTCACTTCAGTAACTCTTCTGCTCTCCATCTGATTAGACTTTACTTTGGGGCTCAGACAACTCGTTGCAGTATTTCTTTCCATGGTGAAGACTGCCACACAGGTTATGCTGGGTCAGAGGCACTCTTCCACGCTCCAGAAAGCTTCATCTCAGGGACTTCTTAGCCACATGTTTTATCCTTGTATTGAGTAGTCCTTACAATTTTTTTTTTCTGAACTTGTCTTATCTGCTTTGAACCCACAAAACTACTGCCAATTTAGTATCATGTACGTTTAGCATCATAGGCAGAGGTGGTACAAATGAGCTTTGAAATTATATTCCCAGGGGATGAACACACCTAAGATTTACATTTGAAGGGGACAGAAATAAGATGTGCCACCAGAATAAGAAATTATTTACAGATTATTGACTAGCTGTAAGGTTGTTTCCACTTGCAATTTTCCACTCAACCAAAAATGCCCTAAGCGTGTTTTGATACAGTTTCTACGCTGGCACTGAAGTCTAGTGAATCCATTATGGGAAATCTCTCAAAGTTTTATGGCTAGTTTTCTCCCCAGTGGAAATAATTTGGATTTTTTATTTTCCTTTCCCTGTCAAATGTCTAGTTTTGACTTTATCAACCATATGAGTTGTCGCTGTATGCCACACTGTGTAAATGGGCTGGGCAAGGCACCCTCTGTCTCCCAGCGCTGATATTCTTCAAGAGGATACCTAATGGTTAGCCAATTGTTGCACTGACATTTCTCTCAGTGTGCAAGTATCAGCTTTCACTTAGTGAGTCCATGTAATGTAAATAACCCCTGGCAGACAGGCTGGGATTATACTACCTGTGTGAACTGAGAAGGTTGCTTGCCAAAAATAATTGGTTTGATTGCATTGGCTGGGTCTTTCAGAGTTTAACGGTGCAACATGGTAAGGAGCAATCTTAGAGAAAGCCGAAGACATGTAATATAGAATTGGGTGTGTGCACTCAGGCCCAAGCAAAAAGATTTGATGCTACCAGTAAAGCTGTTTATACCTGTTGGTTGCATAAAACTTCATTAATGAAGTCAGTGAGGTATTATTCAGTGTAAGATGTGGGGAGACAAGGTGTTCTGCATAGACAATTTCAGATTGACCAGGTTTTCTAGGGACAGCAGAAACTTCACAGGTAGCCTCTGTTGTAAAAAATTCTGCGTTCAAATGGAAATATGTCTCCAATACCACCACTAAAGGTGAAGACTACAAGTAAGCAAAGAAATCTGCTTGGTAGATAACAAAGAAAAGAGGATCGATCTCTTGCTTTACCAGAGTTATTGTACTACTGCTTACGCAACTGCTACAAAGATGAGTCAGGAACAAAACTGATCCCGTAGCTACCCATTGCTTTGGTGAAGGATGCATGTTGTATCCCTGCAAGAAAGATGCACCCCAGAAGAGTGGAGGATCTATAGTCTTCAAACAGCATTGCTACCATATGTGGTGGTAAGACCCTGACCCTCATTTTGTCTCCACTGTGCTTCAGCTATTAATGTTACTGGAAGCAGTGAGCATGGAAAGTGAAAATCTCCTTAAGTTCAGGGTAGGCTAGAAACAGCAAAATTGGCCAGATCCTAAGGTCCCACTCCTCAAGGAATAAGCAAACGTGACAAATAGAAAGCTTTTTCATTTAGAAAACATTAGCATCATTCTTATTAAATTTATGGTTAGATAAAATCTGTGTTCAAGTACTACCAATTCTGCGTGATACGTTGTATGAAGGGAGGATCCAGAACTTTTAGCCCAATCACAGAAGCAATAGCTGAACTGAACAATGTATCTATGTACCTATATAGTCTAGACTTGTTATCTTGCCCCTTTCCCACTTCCCTCACCATTTTGCCAACCTTCATCTAGCCAATAAATACATGGGAACTGATTTCTGACAGAGTTAATTACCTCTAATTGTGCCACTCCTGTTATCTTACCAGCTTTAACTCACCATAAATTGGTCTGGTACAGATGTTGGCAAGATAAGAACTCTAGACTCACTCCATATATATATATAATATGTATGTATTTATTTATGTATCTGAACATGTTAGATATGCTGCTGTGGTAGATTGGTTCAGTTATTTCATGACTGCTGGGATTTTACAGTTGACTTGCTGTGCCAGGTGCCTCAGCCGCAGATATTGAGGCGTAATTTCTGCCCTCTGCTGCCTGCTCCAGCCCAGTGAGATGCTTTCAGTCATGACCCAACAATGTCTGGGTTAATAAGAATTGGGGGGGATCAAGGGAGTAGCATTGCTTGGATGATATAGTACTTCAGCAAAGGCCAGTGCACAGTATGCTGGAATAAAAAATAGTTTAGGTATCAATAAATAAAATGCAGAAATCTGAGTTGGCTGAAAAAATGACACAATTTATCTTTTGATATTTTCATTTCTGACATCTAGAGGCAAACCCAACGCCAGAAACATCACGGAAGAGATTGAGCAAGAAGGAATTCAAACTGAACTTCTGACTCTGAAGGCATTTTTAATCAGTTAGGTTCCAGGATCCTGGCTTATATAAATTTAGGAATGCTATTCACCTCCTTTGTGGGGAAAAAAAAAAAAAAACAACAAACCAAACCAAAACAAAAAACCCCTCAGCCCACAACAAAAATACCCTAAGGGGTTGTAATAAAAAACCAAATACATTAAAAACAATAAGGATGGTGAAAAAATTAAAAAGAAAAGGATTTTATTGTCAGGAAATTGATTCCAGGGAAGTATATGGGGTTTTTTTCAGGTAAAGGTTGATTTTGGTTGAACCTTCTGTCAGAAAAATTAGAGTGAGGTAATCCGCATTGGTGCGGTAGGAAGTAATTTTTTTTATATGTCTGAGTTGTGTTTGTACATCTCTTGAACTCCCATTCATCTCTTACTCTGCAGTGGGGTTATATAGCCCTTTCAGCAGCCTTGCCCTAGGGCTGAACACTGCCCCATAGCATGGAAATCGCAGTTTGGTGACAAAGCAAATGTGGAAGTAATAAAAAGCTCAAGGAAATGTGATCCCTTTCTTGAGGAGCTCTGAGAAACACTGGGTCACCTGCAAAAGGGAGAGATCTTATGAGCACCGTCAGTTCTTGCTGCCCTCTGACATTTGTTACTATGAATTTTACTTCAGGTTATGGTCATTCTCCCTACTCCACCACACTTTGGTTCCTCACACAGAGCCAGTGTACATATTGGGAGTGCAAGTCCCCATACAGTGTGAACAATTTTTTATCGCTGCCATTTCTAATATTTTCTTGTTGTATTTCTGTGTTGCAGATGTGGATGAATGCGCTTCGGATTCTCACCAGTGTAACCCCACCCAGATCTGCATAAATACTGAGGGGGGCTATACCTGTTCCTGCACTGAAGGCTACTGGCTATTAGAAGGCCAGTGTTTAGGTAAAAACCTCATGCGACGTGGTATTTGAGCATCTGTGTATGTGTACTTGTGAATAGCTGAAATAATGTCACTGATCATCTTTGTCAAGTACACAGTTAAACCTTCGGCTACGTGGAAACTGTCTTTCATCTTTGTGAGTGCCAATGGTACACTTGGCAGAGAGACTCCCTTGCGGAACAAAAATGTAGATGTGAATGCCATATGACTAGCATCCATGTAACACGTGGGATTTTCATATTCCCAGTCTGAAGGATTCCCTTTCATATAAGATTAATAGCAAGCAGATACACAAAAAGATTTATTCTCAAACAGACCTGTCCTTTCCATACCATGTGGACCCAAAGGGATCAGTATTTTATACCAAGAAACAGGCCAGTAAATCCTCAGATTCAACCAACCCTTTTGCTTGGGGGTGAGAAAAAAACTACCTCTGACCGGGGCACCATTTTGGTACCTTCCAAGCAGTTTTATTTTGATTTTATTATTTTCTTTGCAGCAACGTCCTGTTCATCCTTTTAGCTCAGCCCTGTTGAAAAAAACATCCCTCAACAAACAGCATGGGAAAACCTTCCAGCTCCCCTCTCCTCCAGCCCATTGCCCTTACTTGACATGCCCATGGGATGATGAAGCGGGTGTTAATTTTAGGTACACAGATAGGACCTAGGAGAGAGGATACAACTTTTTTTTTAAGTTTGTTCTTTTTTTTTTTCCCCCTCGGCGCAGGCTGTTTGCCTGCCAGCTCTGTGGAGCTGGACCATCCTATCACAACACCTCTGCTGGAAGGAGAATGGGCTTTCCCTGCCCATTCATCCCTGGAGCCTCTCCAGTTATTTTCCAGCTTTCTCCTCCCAAGCACCGATTCCAGTGAAGGACTGACTCACGGCTGCTCTCCTAACTAAACAGCTGCTGTGTAACTCACCTGGCAGGGACAGAGCTGCGTCCCATCCCAGCTGGGGTCTGTGCGGCCATAGCTGCTTTAGGGAGTCACTGCCTTGCAGGTCCCCTAGTATATGAAGTCTCCAAGCCCCCTGCTCCTTAATCTCTGATAATTCCTCTTCTCTTGGGAAAAAAGGCTTGTGCCAGGGGTTGTACAGGTGTACATGATGGGGTGAGGATGAGGGAGGGCAGGTGATGCTCTGTATCACCTGTTTTGTTACCCATCTACTTCTCTCAGTTATAGCCCAAATGAAAGGGTCATGTGCAGCATTCAGGATCTGGATGTGAATCTAAAGTACTTTACTGCTTGATGGATATACCAGAGAACTGAAATGGCTGCATTGCTGAATTGATTAGAGTATCTGCTTATGCTATTTAAAATAGGCAATAACATGTTGCCCACTTCAAGTAATCATGGGGTGGATTATTACAAGGCAATGCAAAGAGCTAAGAGCAATTTGTGTTTAGACTTGCTATATTTTTTCCTAAGTGTCAAAACAATCTGTTTTCCATACTTTCCACTGGCCTCAGAGAAGTGATTTTTGCTGGCGTAAAGCAGTAAAAGACCATTTACTGTAATCAGCGGGCTGGGTTGGGTTTTAGACAGGCTTTTTTGGTGCACTGTTAGTAAACCACACTTGCAAAGAGCTACACTTCTGTCTGTTGTAATTATCCCAGTAAAGTTTATATAGGAGGAGCCAGTACAGCAGTATCCACACGACCCACCCACAAGAAGCAGCCCTGTAGAAGTCCTCATCCTCAAAATGTAGCACTCTTGAGATAACAGTCCTGCAAAAGCCAAAGCATGTATTTTAAATCATGCATTGTGTCAGTGAAATGAGGTATTAATTTACTTAAAACCCATGTCACTTCTTGCAGGATTTGTGCCAAGCCTACTGCTGGTGTACATACCATAGCTGACCCTGGCCTTTAGGTTATCGTGCTATTTAGAATGCAGTGGGAAATAAAAGCTAGTAAGGGTAAAACTGAGTGTCAGCGTCCTTGTTACTTTACACAGAGAGAGAATTTCCAAGGCTTTTGACGTGTTCAGAATGGTTTCCTGAGACTTTCTATGGCAGAACTGCCCCAGCGAGGCCAATGACATAAACTTGAATTGCAGGATGTAGCTGCTTATATAACAGATTCATAGCATTGTTGTTTTTATGGTATTACCACATCGTGTAAATGTTCAAGTTGTTCAAGAATTCAGCTTCCCAACACATTCTTAACACTAAAACAGGAAGCAGACAATTTAGCTAACAAATAATGAACTGCTGGAATTAGCGCAGATATATATGTGTACTTGTGAACCATAGAGAGAGTACTGTCATTTTGATTTTCACATGAGTTGGAACCTACCGTGGGGCTCATTTCACAAAAATCTGTGCCTTCCTGCTTTGCTCCTTCTGGCAAACTGACTGGAGATAATACACTTGGTTTTCTACTGCACAAACTTAACTTCAAAGCTTTGAGAGTAGCCATTAAAAAAATCTCCGTAAATCAAAAGCTAGTTGATACCAAAGGAAAAGTAAAGCCTTGGAAAGGACAACTACTCCAGGTGTTTCATTCCAGTTCTTAGTCCAGGGGCAAAATTCTTCTAGCACTTACCATCATACGTATCTTACAGCATCTTCTTGTGCTTATAACAGTCAGTTACGTGTATTGCTAATGCTGCAATTCAGCCCAAACTGCTATTTTGGCATTAAATTTATTGTTTACATTTTAGAGTCTATAACTTGTCAGTTAAAAATTAATATAAAATGGGAATGTGACTATTTGAAAAAAGTCTTGAAAGAATATGCTCTCAAAAAACCAGCTATTTAGTAACAAATACTGCTTTCCTAGTGAGTAGCTTTGGTATATGCAGAGGTAAAAAAAGTTTCTATCTGGACTCTGAGAAAACTTTGCTACAACATTGGCTGTGTTTGTGCTGACAGGCTGCCCAGATATCAGGTATGCTTCAAGGTAGCTCCTTAATGGGACTGACTCTGAGCTTCCCGATGACACCACATTAAGCTGCAGATTACAGCAATGACAATCAGTTCATAGGACATACTGACACATGTCAGCTGTTGATAAAAACACATTACTACGTTCTTCTGGGTAGAGATGTATTTTAACTATAAATCTCAATCTGACCTCCTGAAAGTTTGGCTATTACATCTGTAGCCAGTATGCTGGGTTATTTCTGTGTTACCGGTACTGCTGACTCAGTGTGTTTGCTGCTTTGTACCTGCATGTGGAAATGTAGACCACTCTGCTTTTCATCTTTCCCATCTATAGATATAGACGAATGTCGCTATGGCTACTGCCAGCAGCTGTGTGCCAACGTGCCCGGTTCCTACTCCTGTACGTGCAACCCAGGCTTTACCCTTAATGATGATGGAAGATCATGCCAAGGTACTGTGTATGACAAACCATGACTGGAATCTTTGGTCCCGACCCAGCAACACCCTTAACACTTACTTCATTTTTAGAATACAAGTAACCTTCCCAACACCGCTTTTGAAAATGTTTATAGGTTTGTCAGCCTGAGATGTTTCTGTAGTTTCACAGTACCTTGGAGGGGTACAGGTGCAACATGACCAGTGTATCAAGAGAAATAGGCACAGAGGCCCAAACCCCCTAAAACAGAGAGTTACTCAATTCACTGAAATTACCGAGAGTTTAGGCACTGAATTACTTTTAAAATCTGAGGCTGTGTGACCCACCTGATCTGCCAGATCAGTAAATTATATCTGAGTCTCCCATGTTCCAGACTAGGGTCCTGAATATTAGACCACCTTTTGCTGTGATGCGCTACCTCAATCAAAGTCAGCATTGCTTCTTCATAAACCCTCTCCCTAGTTAGGCAGGGAGCATCTTCCTACATGCTTTAGGAAATGGTCTGTGCTAATGATGTCCAGAAGCTGCTAATGTCCTAAAAGGAAAAAAAAAAAAAATTGGTTTTGTCTTAGCCCCAGGTTTCCATAAGGACCATTCCTCATTGTATTATCTTTCTCAGAAATATCCTGCTGCATTTTGTCTCAGGTCTGTTATGACAAAATCAGTTCAATGCTTTTAAAATTGCAGGGTGAAGACAGAAGCATTTGTAATAAATATTTCATCCCCATCTTCCATGTTATTTTTTTGATTTAAGACATTCCCAAAATGCTTCATTTCCACACAGGCTGTGTTTCCAACACACTATTTCCAGGCATCAGCCTGAATCCCAATAAACAATACTGACTTGGTTATACTTTTTCAGAACAAATCATTCTGATTGTACAGCATATCTCTTTGAAATGCTTTACAGTAATGAATTGAAAATAGAGTTTGGGGAGAAGTCACTGATGCATTGGGCATTGGTTTCCCATAGATGTGAATGAATGTACAAGCCAAAACCCTTGCACTCAGACCTGCGTCAACACCTATGGCTCTTTTCTCTGCCGCTGTGAACCGGGCTACGAACTGGAAGCTGATGGAGTTAACTGCAGTGGTAACTGTCTTTGGTTATTTATTTGGTTTGTTTCTTTAAATTCTGTTAGGCTTTCTTTTTCCAATGTATTGTTTCATACATGCTTTTTAACAAGTTTTTTGCCTTGGTCCATGGTTAGCAGCAGGATAGCTGCAACTCATATGATCTTCTTTCCAGTTAAAGCCCACTGTAAGTACCCAGAAAAGCACAATGGGGGAGGGCTGCAAATGGTTTTAAAGAAATAAGCTAAATATTAAAGAGCTCCAAGATAACAGCAAAACATAAGAAAACACTTTATAATGCTAAACAGGAAGCTTTATTAGAGCAAGTGAAGTAGGGATAGTCCTAGAACGTTCTTCCATGATTGAAGAAATACTTCACATAAAGCACTTTTCCATGTTGAATGCATGTATTCCTCTTGCTCTTACGGCTGCACACTTCGGCATGAAACCTTCCCCAGTTGCCCCTGTATAGATCTGGCTACACTTCAGAAGCAGTATATGGTTTCTTAGTACAGCTATTGCTAATCTGTTCAGCACATAGCGGAAGAAACTGTGCTTATGTCACTGTACTTTTTCCTCTCTTGTTTTTGTTTTTATTTTATTGCTTTATTGTAATTGAAGGCAAAACTTATTTCTGTGCTTAATGTTCCCACAGCCTGATAAAATTACAGAATACTGCCAATATTTCTTGGAAGGAAAAATGTACTGGAAAATACTTGTTTTTTAATTTACAGTAAACAGATGTAACATGCTGTTTCTGAGAGAGAAGACATGTGATATGCAGCATGTGTATAGATTAGTGTTTCCAAAGCTGTTCTTCCCTGTCAACCTCCTTATTATAAGGGGAAAGAACAAAGACTTCAATCTCTAAAGGGTCTTGTGCATTTAACATTTAGAGCTGCAACACCCAACTTACGTTTTCTGCTTTCTAATGGAGTTTCTGCTTCTAAGTTGGATTCCTGCACCTTTTTATGTGCTCCTGAGCTAGCTGGGGGCCTGGACAGTTAAGTTCAATGCAATGTCACATAAACATTGCCAGTAGAAAAGGCAGAAGTGAATTGCCAGACAGATGAGGTGGTGCTTGTACCTCATTCGTGTCTGAGAGTGAAGCCAGCAAAAGGGACTTTCCACCACACAGATTTAGAGCAGAAAACCTTCTCTTGGCAATTCTGTGCAAAAAAAATGGTTGTCAGAGCAGGTCAAATTTCTCTGGATGAGTTTCTTCCACTTCACAAGCAATCACTAGACATCGCTGAGGCTCGCAAAGGGAATGCCTGGTTAGGAGGACACTCCTGTGAGACACCCAGGTTCCAGATGTACTTCAGCAGCCACTGGATTAATCCATGGCCTAGCAGCCAGCTTACCCTGAAGATGGGAGGCATCCCTGCCCCAGTCCAAGGAGAGAAGCAGAGATTTCAACCTGGGTTTCCCAACATCAGCATTATTTTCTAATCACAGAGGTCTTGCATGTGCATTAGATGTGCTCTGAAATGTCTACCATCCTGTCTTCTGCAGGTAGTCAGCAGGATGCCAGAAGTTGTTTAAGAACAGCAAAGGTGTGTTTGTCCTGTGCAGGCTCAGCAGCAGCAATGTAGGGCCCTCGGGGACTTTAGGTCCCTCCAGCACTTGACAGCAGCTGAGTACAGGTTACATGAATCCCATGTGCTGCAAGTCTGGGACAGGACACCTGGAGGGGTGGGTGATATCTCATTCCCTTTATGGAGTCAGGCCTCAGTCCATGTTTTGTCAGGAAGGTGGTTTTTTTCAGTGACCTCACTGGGGCAAGTCACACAATAACAGGACTATGTAGGTGTAGAGTTCCTTTCATCTCCCATTCGGTTGCAGCCATAAAGCCACTTCAACATATTTGGACTTCAAATACTTTCCAATACATCTGCACAAAACACCAAAAGTGGATAAATGGGCTGAGCCCAATTTAGAAGAAAGGGAAGTTCAGTCTGAGGAGTAAAAGTGATTTGCCTGGGAGAGTCAACATGTCAGAGCTGGGAATAAGAACTTGGGAGTTCCTGGCTGGGGCTCTGGCCTTTGTTTCTTTCTTCCCCTGAAGAGGGAAATAAGGAAATGATTAACTGCAGTCTCCCTCAGTCTAGTGCCTTTGCATGTGTTTTCCCCTCAGTCAGCCATGCCTCCATGCGCAGCTCTGAAGTTTGTCTTTCTCGCTTGAGCACAGTTCTGCAGAATACAATGACTGGTCAATTCATGAGTGCAAGGGGAAAAGAGCACAATTTCGGGTCTCAGTCAGAGATTTGACAGACTGCCTAGCTTCCTGGGTATCTGGGAGATGGCTTGGCCTTGCAGTAGGTCTGACCCAAGCTGGGATGAGCTCTGTAGTCTTGCTGGAATGCCTTGGAAGTAACTGGCTAGAGGCTAAGGAACATAAAACAGCTGGGGCTGGCTGCAGGAGTTCTGCTGGGACCCATGTGGCCCTGGGAAAGGGAAGTTTGCTCTCCAGAAAAAAGAAAACCACTTCCAAGCCTCGCCTTTCAAATTACAGTTGCAGCTTTGTTGTTGGAGTAGCTCTATCTCTGACGTAAAACAGGACTGAAAACATGGCCAACTGGTGACAGGTATTTGAAAATAAAAATAAATAAATAAAACCCGCGCATTGTGTTCAGCAGCAGCTTTGGTTTCCCTAGGAGAAAAATGTTTAACGAAGAACTTGTTGTATAGCATTTTGCCAGGTTGATGCAGAGCTCTAGGGAGCTGGAGGGTGCCAATCTCCAGCTGGGGTGATGGGCATGTAGTCTGGATGGCCACCTGCCTGTGGGACTACTCTTTTGACTGTAAAGCCAAAGACACTAAACTCTGTTTTACCACTGCAGACATGGATGAGTGCAGCTTCTCAGAGTTCCTCTGCCAGCACGAATGTGTGAACGGGCCTGGTTCTTACTACTGTAGCTGTCCTGCAGGCTATAACTTGCTTGATGATAGCAGAAGCTGCCAAGGTAAGAACATTCCTGAGCTGATTAAAACCCAAGGGGACCAGAAAATAGGTCCTGTGTCTGGAAAGAGGTTTTCAAGAATTGAGATGCTTGGTCTTGGCATTGCACAGTGAAACATAGGGGCCAATTATGTAATTCTGGTAAGAATGTCATCATGTGAATAGTCCCACTGGAGTGAATTGGTGTGTTGGTGTAAGACTTTACTGACTAGGAAACAGCTAAACAGATGCTCTCCTCTCTGCTGCACATCTCTCTCTAGTTTTCCCATTCTCTAAGGTCAGAGAACTTGAGCAGCCACTTTCTGTTCTGGTTTTGGAGGACTTAGCATGTGGGAGCACTCCAAAAAGCAGAAATGAATGGAGTAAAAACTGATCTTAAAAGAAGGGCCTGTTATCAAAAGGCCATTTTTCATGGTGGAAGAGTGTTACGAATTTGGGGAAAATTAAGATGGAAACCAGTTTGTAAGAGTGGTGTCTTCTACATATTTCCCTGCTTTAGCTTTTCTTTTGTTTCTTGTGGTTTAGATATCAATGAATGTGAAACCAGAAACTTCACCTGCACTCCGCAGCAAACGTGTTTCAATATCGCAGGAGGATATAAATGTTTAGACCCAGTAAGATGCGAGGATCCTTATATCCAGATTAACGAGAAGTGAGTAACATACCCACAACCACAAAAGCAAATTCTCTCTCTCTGAAGTGTATCTAGAGTGAACCAAATAAGCTGCATTTTTACAACACATACATGCTGTTGCTGCATTTAGCATTGGTAAGCTTTATAAAAATAATAAATTGCAATTCCTTACCAGGTCACCAGGTGGGACATGACATGACATGACATGACATGACATGACATGACATGACATGACATGACACGACACTCATGTCTGGGAAGTTAGACTGGAAAAACACTTATCAGTGAGTAGAGAAAGCAGCAGGGTTTGTAATGTAATAAGAGGCAATTACTTACATTACTAACTGACTTCATATATGCTCAAATGCAGCCTGTTTATTTGTATGAGTACTTCCTGTAAATATTAACTAGCTTGTGTCTGGGAAGTACTTTAAAACATTAGATGGTAGTAGTTTCCTACTGCTTAAAGGTTAAAAGTGCTGAAAAGTCCACAGCCTGGTTTGTCTTGTCCAGAAGTTTGGTATGTCTGGATGGGACTGTTAGCATTGTTACTGTCTAAATTTGGAATTATTTGAGCAAGCAAAAAAATAAATTCCACATTTCTAAAAATTGCCTGTTTCTTTTACATTTTGTAGGTTATTTGCCTGAGGCTCAAATTATTTCCGCTCCAGGCAGATCTCTGTATATTGCAGCCCATAGTATTTCATCTATAGTGTCTGCACTAGACCCAATTACTTGGGATTGCTCAGTAGCCTAATGTATTTCATCAAAAGGCAAGAGATGAAGAATCACCTTCTTTCCATTATAACTTATTCATGTCTTTACATTGCTTTCTGAACTAGGGCAGCTGAGGAATGGACATGTTCTGTTCTTCCGGTTCTGGGTTTACCTACCTTCAGAGGTGGTAGAGTCTTAAACTGGAAATTGCAATATCTGAAACCTCTGTATCTAAATTCCCCAGAGCCCAACTGTAGAGTCCTCACAGATCAGCTTGCACCAGAACTCTTGATCTCTGAGCTTTGTGTTTGGTGGCTTTGGCTTGTGTCTAGATGTGACTGCATTTAATTTGTGGCGTTATGTCTAGAAGTGGTCAGTATAAAAGCCAAGTGAATTCCTTGCATCTGCATTTTCTGTGGAAGGAATTAGGTGTTTGTAATGCCAGAAGCCTTTTTATGGGGAACATACCAGATAAACTGTCTGAAATTGGTGTCAGTAGCGGACGTTATAGAAAAAATAGGCAAAAAGACCCAACTCTTTTCCAGTAAATTCCCCAACACGGCTTTTGTAAATGGACATCCTGCCTCACAACTTTATTAGAGTTCTCTGAAGAAATAAGCAGCATGTGGCTAGGGCACATGGGCTGAGGCAGTCTGTTTGGGTTTCCAAAGGCTTCTGAAAAGAGCCTCACATAAGGTTATTATGGAAATTAAGCAGCCATAAGTAGGAGAGAAATCCCTGGCACAGAAGAATAAGATGTGTAAAGATAAAAAATTAGTAGAGTATTAAATTGTCAGCTTTCATAGTAAAGTTCTGCAGAGGTCTAAGCTGGACCTACTTTGTCCAACATATTTGTAAGCAACATGGGAAAAAGGATAAACCATGAGATGGACAAAGTCTGCAACAGTATCTGAGGACAGTAGAGAAAAAGGCGGGCAGAAAAGAATTGCAGAAGGAGTCTCAATAACTGTTTAATAAAATTGTCAGATGAAATTCAGTGTAGATGAATGTAAAGTGAAAAGACAATCCCAAATTCACAAATTACATAAAGAGCACTGCTGTGATCATAATCCGTCCAAACTGAGATCTGAGGGTTGTTCCATTATCTGCGGTACTCGCTAGAGGTCAGAAAAGCAATCTGAATTTGAGGTGCTAATAGGTAGAGGCTCTCCTTAGAGCATGTGCCATTGTGTACCCATGTCTTCAAGACAGACAGTGCAGTTCCTTCCCCTCCTCTCAAAGGAAATACAGCTAGACAAAGGTTCATAAAGAGCAATGAGGATCATCAAAATTATGGAATAGCTTCCTTGCAAGAAACAACTAAGTTAGGACTCTTCAGCTGCAAACAGGGTCAAATATGGAGCCCTGAGTTGTGTGAGGAGGATGAGGAGGGATTAACTGGCTGCTCTCCTTTCAGTAGAAGAGCCAGGAACATCAGACAAAGCCAGCAAGGGACCGTGCAGAGGGAGGTGAAGGGGGCTGTGGAGCTCTTGGCCGCAGGGTCTGTGGATGCCGTTCACAGGAGTGTAAGGGGAAGCTGGACAAGCTTATGGATAAGAAATGCATTAAGGGCTGATGAATACACAGAAGATGTCTTTGTTTCAAGAATTTCCTGAGTCACAAACAATTGGAGGCTTTGGTGGAAGTGTCATGCACTTGGCTTGCTATCCTGCTCTTCCTTAGGGCTCTGGATTTGATGCTAGAGCTTTGGTTTGGTCCAGGATGCTCGCTGTATGTTTTTATGTAGTATATAAAAGGTTGTTAAACAGAGAATACAACATTTATGTAGCACCACCAGTGAAATGATCCAATTACTTTGGGGACAGTTCAGTTTAAATTACTATCAGAACAAACATGTACCAGGTATTCTACACCTGCAGAGCTACTTTAAAGAAAGTACAGATTTTCAAGTGATCTAAGGATGCAAAGGATGCCAAGATGTTTTGACCTAGAAAACAAGAAAAAGAAGGCAGGGATGTAGGTAGGCCAGAATAGCAACGCAGAGAATACTAGAAGTGAGAAAATCCATTACAAGTTTCATTGATTCTTTAAGCTGTTCTACAACATTATTTGTTTATTTATTTATGCAGCTGTATTTGCATGTAACAAATCAAATATCACAGCAATTTGTAACCCCTGATGACAATCCTGTCTCTGACCATTAGCCGCTGCATGTGTCCAGCTGAAAACACCGGTTGCAGAGATCAGCCATTCACCATCTTGTACAGAGTGATGGATATGGTGTCCGGGCGGTCTGTGCCTTCTGACATTTTTCAGATGCAAGCAACAACTCGCTACCCTGGAGCCTATTACATCTTCCAAATCAAGTCAGGGAACGAGGGCAGGGAATTCTACATGCGGGTAAGTCTGTCCTCACTGAGAGAAAACATAGAGTACCTTCTCGTGAGCTGAATACCATTCTGATAGCAGAACTCAGTTTTTAATGAGTATCATTTAAACCTTCAGTATGAGGTGTTTTTACATGCAGACATGCAGAGCAGCGTGCTGATCTGCAGGGGCTGATGGCTTTTGCAGGAAGGTAGCCTACCCAAAGCAAACACACTTGTTTTATGAGACATTAGGTTCGAGAAAGTCCAGGGCTGTACCCATGTCTAAGAATAGCTCAGGTCTCCCATGCTCAAGAGAAACTATTGTGACAAACCCTTTTTCATTTGATGGAAAATCAGTAATTGTCACTGAAAGAGTCAATGTTTCCCACTTGTTTTATTAAACTCTTCATTAGAAATTGAAAAAACTGAAACCCCAAAAGTAAGAAAAAAACCACAACAAACCCTTTATCCCAAGAATTGACTTTCCAGGTTCTTTTCTTTAATTTGTTATGTATTTTTTTCACTGAGAACACACATTTTATGTAGACACTGTTAGAGAAAACACAACTACTTTTTTTTTTAATCTGAATTTTCCTCAGAAGACATCTCTGTTCTCCAATCACCTTCACTGCACCTCTGACACACAAGGGTAATGGGAAGTGTCTGCACAGACTGAGGCACAGCCACCAGGGATGGTGGCTTTCAGAAGGTTGATTTTTAACCCTAGGGAAAACTTGGCTTTGATGATATTCACATGAAGTGATGTTCGGTGGCTATTGATGGTTCCCATGCCTCACAGAAACTGGTAGCATGACCAGTTTTGGTAGATTCCAATACACGTTTCTCCTGAGAGCCTCTGATTCTCACTACTAAAAAGATGTTTCAGAATTCCAAAATTACAAGTGGTCCAAGAATGATCATTTACATCTCATAAGACCTTTCCTGTTGCAAAGTCATTACTGATCCCACCGACCTTTTCCCTTCATCTCAGCTGATCCGCCAGATGCTAAGGCTCCTGCAACCAGCATCATTGCTCAAGCCCACTAGCTTTCTTTTATTTGTTTACCACACACCCCTTTGCTTGTCACCTACCATGCTCCGCTTCCACAAGCTGTCCTTTTCCCACTTCTGCCAGCAGCACCATTGTTCCTGCGCCAGGCTGGTAGCCAGGGTGCTGGTGGGGAGCAGGGCCCTGGGACGCTGCTCCCCGGGGGCTGAGGCAGCCCTGCCAGCTCCTCCTCACTGCTTCGTTGGGCTTCTCTGATCACAGATCACACAAACGCTCTGTTTCACGGTAAAACAGGTCCCACTTTGTGTTTCTGCTGGAAAACACATTGCAGTTGGTTTTAACATCAGAAGCTCTGATTTTTAAACGCTCATAATCCACTGTTCTGGCCAGACATTTCAAAGGTCTGCTTCCACTTACTAAAAGATTTTTCTGAAGTGCCTTCACAGATTTAAAGCTCTCTTCAGAGGGTAAAGTTTTGCAATGTTAACCTACACAATTATACAACAAACCCTGATCCTGTTCACAGAGGAACATCTGTTCTTCAAGCTCTGTTAACATAACCCCCTCTTGGTGTTTGCTGTTTCAAAGTAACAGGGCTCTTTACCTCAAACAAAATAATATCTTATGCACAAATAAAAAGGTGTCACCACCTGTGCATACACTAAATCCATGTTTTCATCTTTTTCCATTTGGACAATAGCAAATTTCCACGTTCAACAGCTCCTTTTATGTGCAGGGCTCCCAAAGGCTTTACAAACCATAGAAGGTGACAGTTCATACAAAATGCTGAACTGGAGCCAAATGCTGAAACGAAGCTTTCTCTCCTGCGAATTGCAGTGGCTTCTAACAATGCAGCAGAAAACAGTGTTATTTTGGCTGCTCAAAGACCATGGCCACTATGTGGTCTCACCTGAGATGATAGTTTTCAAGAGGCGTTTTTTAAAACCTCCCCTGTTTCCTCTTGTTTTGTGCATAGCAAACAGGACCGATCAGTGCTACTCTGGTGATGACCCGCCCTGTGAAGGGGCCCCGTACTATTGACTTGGACTTGGAAATGATCACTGTTAACACCGTCATCAACTTCAGAGGAAGCTCTGTCATCCGGCTGAGGATATACGTATCACAGTACTCCTTCTAAACCTTGAGTTTGTGCCCTGGAAACATTAAAACAAAAGAGACGGTTCCTCCTCTGCAGAACTCTCTCCTCAGAAGCCAGTACGTATAGCAGCTCTAAACCAAACCAGTATTTCCACAGACCCGGTGACCTATGACTGTCTGAGGAGGGAGGCCTCTTCATGCAGAGTCCCTACCAGGATGATGATCTGAAGATGTCTCATCAGCAGATCCCGTATGATTCTCTATGCGGTCGTATATTTTAAGGACTCTTCTTTCCATTGTAAACACTTCTAGGGTATGAGTCTATGTTTGAAAGACTGTGAACCTTTGTAGCTCCAAGGCTGCTTAGCAAAAAGCACCAAAGAAACTGAGGAAAAAGCTGGCTTTTGCAATCTTGCCTTTTTTTTTTTTCATTATAAATGGAAAGCAGACAAACAACCAGAAACAAACCAAAAGCCACCTATTGAAACAAGGGATCTCAGAAGTGCTAACTTACATTCCCAATTATCTCTGGAATTATCAGTCAGGCACTTTGATTCAATTCACCCTGCATTTGTCTTAGTTTCACCTGTTTTTTCTTTGACTCTATTTTATAGTTAAAATTCATTGTAAATTCATTCCAAAATACATGTTGTACTATGTAATCTTCTACTTTCTAACAAAGTGTCACATGTTTGGGTTCCTTCCTGTATTAAATCTTTCTATATAACAGAGCTTATAGAAATCTATCACTGGTTGGTATGTTTTGCAATGTTTAGGGTGTTATGCTTATTTACACCCAGATGCTCTGACACAGGCCTTCACTGCCAGAATAGTGTCCAGGGACTTCAGAGCAGATGAGAATCAGAACTTTATTTTTCCCTGTTTTCCTGAGTGTGGTAGTTGCAAACAGTTTGTAATGGTTATAAAATAGTGGTACTAACTGTAATTAAGGCTGCAACTAATCTGTTCATGGACCACTCAGCTCAGATGTATCCAAATTCCTTCAGAAAAAAAACCCAAATTGTTCTATTCGTGTGCATCTCTGTCCTACATTCCTAACACTGGGGAAAATAAGCTGAAAAGGACTTGGACCAGTCTTACTGTTCATGCCTCTGCCACAAAGCAGACCCCAGTAAACCAGTACCCAGACCTCAAACGATGGGATCCCACAGTTTCCATAGGCAATGTCTTCTCAGGTATATCTGCTGTAACCAATAGGAAGTTTGTCCTGAAGTCTAATCTGAATCTCCGCTGTTGTAATTTAAATCCATTGTCTTTTAGCCTACTTCCAGTAGAAATAGAGAACAGTTTATCTCCTTTACAGCAGTATTTAGCATGTCTGAAGACTGTTGTCATGTCTCCCCTCAGACTGTTTCTCTCTAGTCTAAACAAACCCAGTTCTTTTGGTCTTTCCTCATACATCACATTTTCTGGACCTTTGATCATTCTTGTTGCTCTCATCTGGATTCTCTCCAGTTGGTTCACATCTTTCTTGAAGTGCAGTGCCCAAAACTGTGAAAAGTATTCCAGCTGAGGCCTCACAGTGCTAAGCTAAATCGATATATATACATATATTTAGGAGTTTGAAAAAAAAACCCCAAATAATTGTACAGTTCAGAGGGATAATGCTTACCTTGTTGAAGCCACTGGCAGTTTGGTCTTTTATTTTAATAGGGATGAGGGTTCATATGTCTTGTTCTTAAATGCCTCTGAAGCAAGCTGTTTTGCATCTTCCCCCTGATTTTTCCTGATTGGTTCATTTGCTCTCCAGCATCGCTAGGGCAGGAAAGATAACCTTTGCTTCCTCTTTTCGAGGACTGGAAGTGCTTAATGCTACTTGGGAAAAGGAGTTTATGAAGATTACGGTGCGAGCAGGCTGGAGCGGAGTGGAAGCATCATGTGAGGTCCTCATTAAAGTGGAGCATTAAATGGGAGAATACGGTCTCGGAAAGTAATCACAACACAGACTGCATGAGGCAATCAGAAAATGTGACTCTCTTGTTCCTAATAAGCTTTGTGAGTTAGTCTGGAGCTGATTTTCCCTAGCTTCGGTAGAGACTCTGCTCTTTTTACTTGTACTCAGCTTGAAGGAAGCCCTGATGCAATGGCTCACAGCAACAAAATGCTGAGTTGAATCTGCTTTAGCAGCTTCCCTTTCTTAATGGTTTAAAGTTTCATCCATGCTGCTACAATGTCCTGGGATCCTGTGGCTCAGAGCTCTGTACGCAGGCTGTTCTTTATTGTAAAAACAAAAAGGCCGGAGCCTGACTCCAGAATTCCGTGAGCCAAGCTGAGGGCAGGAAGCCAATAAGTTTTGTGAGTAGCCAACTTGGAGGAGATAAATATAGAGGAAATGTGCAGAGAAATATCAGAAACAATGTGTTTCCTGAGTATATCATGGCTCACCGTATACCACAGTCTTGGAGGGGAAAACAGAGATGACCAGGAAGGAGGAATGCTAGTTTATAACCATGGGGCTGAAGGTGCTCATGGGTCCCAGATGGTAGAAGTGAGATGTGGGAAACAAGCAGGCTCTGGTGGCCCAGAAAGCAGACAAGGGGCAGGCAGGGTCTTGCATTAAAGTCGTTAAACTCTTAACATGCTGAAAGTTTTCCCACTGCTTAAAAGCCCCCCTTTCCCCCTTTTGTGCCCCTGTGTTATGGCTTCTTCATGTCCAGATGAGGAGCCCTCTCTCTCCCTGCAGTCACATCACCTTCTGGAGAGGAAGTGCACCCTGTTAGACATCAGACAGTTTCTCACTTCTGGGCTGTTCTCCCATGGCCCCCACATACCAACCTGATTTAACCCTAATTTAGAAACATCAAAACACAGAGGAATTCCATAACAAAACACTTTGTTAAAAGAGTAAAGCTTGAATGCTTGGGTTTAGCAGGGTCCAGCAAATACTCATAAAACAATATTACACTTTCTATATAAACATTCTGCGCCTTAAAAAAAAAAGTGAAGAGTCTGGAAACAAAGGAATTCAGCCACTTCTCAACCGCCATAACATCTTTCATCACTCACTATCACTCCAGCCAACTTTAACTTTGCCAAAATATATGCCAATCTCAAAATAATAAATTACTAGCAGTTTATAACATCTAAACTCTCCATTTCCTAGTCAGGGGTCTGTTTCCAATAGACCATCGCAGGCTTGTATGTTACAGCAATTCTCACCAAATAAAAAAAAAGGACTCTGCATGTCAGGTTTTTACAGCATGAAAGTTAAAAATGCAAACTTGCAACTGCTGTATATATTCATGTTCTCCTTTGAGGCCAGGCCTCCCTAAAAGCAGACAGAATTCCAGGTCTGCTCAGAAAATGATTCTTTATTCTAACCAATTGCAGAGGATTTTCTAACATGAAGAGTTTTACCATCTGGTTAACAGACAATATTCTGGCCAGCGCTGGCACTGACCCTGGTCTGGGTACGTGCGGCTTCCCCCTGGCTCAGCTCTGGCGTGCTCCTTGCTCGGGGTGGCAGAGCCGTTCCCTGGCTGAGCTGGGGAGGGGGGGACAGCTCTGTGCTCCTCCTGCCCATCAGCTGTCATGACTGTTGAAAAGAAGGTCCTCAGGGGAAAGATTGCCTCTCACTGTGTGTTTGTACAGCACCCATTGCCGATGCAATAATTGGAATAAAAGTAAACAAAAGCAGAAATGGCAGTAATCTTTGATACAGATCACAATGATTGGGAAGGACAATCTATTCTGATAAACAAACCAAGTGCTTCATGCTAGTCGGGTTAGGTGCCAGAGAGAGAAGAATGGCAAGCGATGATGATCCAGTGCTGTAGAGCTGAATGGGTCCTATCAGCTGGCTTATTTGACCAAGATAGTTTTAGGGGATTGACTTTTTCTGGCATGGACAACAAAATGTTATTTCACCTAAGAGTTTGCTGGATCCCACAGAATCGCTTTTCAATTTGTGCTTCTCTGACAACAATAACTTTGTTGAGAATAATTAAGCTTCTTTAAGTACCTGGTCTCCCACCATGACCAAGTGCAGTGTCCAGGGCCATTCACACAGAGCTTTCTCCTTCTCAAGTTGAGGGCCTGTACTCGTATTTACCTTTTTTTGACTCAGCTTTTAGAAGAGTCAACTTTCATTGTCTCATAAACAAGGTATCAGCATCAGCAGAACTTACATATTCATTTTGTTCTGTCTAGAGCAACCAGAGCAATAAAATCAGTACAGTTTCTGGGCATTCAAGTTCTCCAGCCTGGCTTATTCACAGAATATGCTACTGAGTATCTTCTGTAGCATGTAGCTGTATTAGAACCCAATGAAAATGTCATAGCACAAAGAAAGATGTTAAAAAAAAAAAGTAATAAAAGTATTATTCAAGCCTGACAGTCACTATTGTTAAAATAAATCTCTATCCTGGATGGACAAAACCCTCAGCTGGTGTTAATTTGCATGACTCTGCTGCTCTTTAACAGAAAGATAAAAAGTATCCTTAGATCTTCCCTGTGTGTCTATAAAGCACTGTGCATGCATCTTGTATTCAGGGAGAATTTACAGAAGCTACAACTAGTTGTGGTAGCGTGGCTCTTCATGGGGAAGTCAAGGAGTCATAAGATAACACGGCACAAGCAAATTGCGTTTCCTCATCTGACATGAGTGATTTACACCCGTCACATTTTGTTAAGTCTTTGAACCAATTCTGAATAGCTGACCCCCAAAGCAGGTGCCATGCATGAAGTCTGAGGCTGGTGGTCATAACTAGACTTTTGGGGATTCTGCAGAAAGGCTGCCCAGAACGGTGACCTGTGCTGAAGGGCCAGTGCCATAGGGAGTGTTACGGTCCAGAGGTATTTGTGTGGGGATGTCTCTGATCCCGCAGCTGCCTCTTTCCTCACCTGTTTCAGTGCTGAGTGCATCTGATGTTCAGAAGTGTGCACATCAGAGGTGGAAATCTCACCTATTCCGGTTCTTAGCTCAAACTCCTGAGATCCCTCTAGTGGTTTCCATTGGCAAAACTCACCCTCCCGTGTAACTCAACTAACTGGTGAAGCCACACGGGGGAGAGTTTGGGT